GCCCAGAATCGCCGTTCAACAAAATCCACATGCCCCATTGCCAACGTGATGTCCTGGGCGCTGGGGCTCGTGGTTTCTGACAGCTCTGTGCCACTCTCCGACTTCAGGCTCTCACGGCGGTGCCGTAGCCTCCTCGCCCGATTTCTCTGCATCTGCCTCAGGGAAAGGTGTATGATAAGCTGCGAGGTGTTGAGAACGGCCACAAGTGCAGCGATGGTCGCAGCGTGATCCATGATCGCAGTGCTGTGGCGTCCGCGCTGTCACTGACCAGAAAAGTGCGCAAACTGATTTCCCGCCGGCGCTTTCATGGAGGGAGGGAGGGCGTTAGTGACGGACGGATGACGACAAATTTTTTTTACCCAGAAGGCATTGGCGGCTCGACCCAGAATTCCGATGGGCAGCGGGGACTGCGGGAACTGTGGGATAGCTGCCCACAGTGCACCGCTTCCAATATCGACGCTCGCCCCGTTAGTGTGGACTCACAAAGTCGAATTACTGTCCTTAGTGTGTCCTTAGTGTGGACACACACGTTCGACTTTGCAATATCGATTCCACATATTCGATTTAAGTAAAATCGAATTACCCTCGTAGTGTAGACATACCCTAAGGGTAGGTCTACACTTACCCGGTAGTTCGGCGGCGAGCGATCGAACTTCTGGGTTCGACTTATCGCGTCTTGTCTGGACGCGATAAGTCGAACCCGGAAGTGCTCGCCGTCAACTGCGGTACTCCTGCTCGGCGAGAGGAGTACCGTGGAGTCGACGGGGGAGCCTGCCTGCCGCGTGTGGACCGAGGTAAGTTCGAACTAAGGTACTTCGAACTTCAGCTACGTTATTCATGTAGCTGAAGTTGCGTACCTTAGTTCGAATTGGGGGGTTAGTGTAGACCTGCCCTAAGGTGCCACAAGTACTCCTGTTCTTTTTGCGGATACAGACTAACACGGCTGCTACTCTGAAACCTTTGTACAATATTTGCTGCAAATATATAACAGTGGTTGCAACAATGATCTATACAGTCATAGCTTATGTCAATAATGTCACACACTCCCCTTAACATGGACCACCTCGATATCGTAATCCTGCAGGAGCAGACTCCACCTCAGGAGCTTGGCATTGGCTCCTTTCATCTGGTGTAGCCAGGTCATGGGAGAGTGGTCAGTGTACACAGTGAAGTGTCACCCAAACAGACATGGCAGTAGTTTCTTAAGGGCCCACACCATGGCCAGGCATTCCTTCTCCATGGCTGCGTAGTTTTGCTCCCGAGGTAACAACTTCTTGCTCAAGTACATGATGGGGTGTCTTTCCCCTTTTTCATCAACCTGCATTAACACCGCACCCAGCGTCGGTGAACACCATAAAGGGCTTGTCAAAGTCTGGGTTTACCAGAACTGGGCCACTGACCAGAGCCTCCTTCAGTGCACACAGAGCCTTCTGGCACTGCTCGGTCCAGACCACCTTGTCTGGCTTTCCCTTCTTGCATAGCTCAGTCAGGGGGTGGCTATGGAGCTAAAGTGTGGCACAAATCTTCGATAATACCCCGCCATTCTAATAAGGGCTTGGACCTGCGTTTTGGTTTGGGGAGCGGGCCAGTCTCTGATCGCCTCCATGTTGGCTGGTTCTGGCTTTAGGCAGCCGCTCCCCACCCGGTGGCCCAGGTTAAATACTTCAGCCATCCCCACCCTGCACTTCTCAGCTTTTATGGTCAGCCCAGCCTCCTGGAGTCCGTCCAGCACTGTTTAACCTGGGACACATGGTCCTCCCAGGTCTGGCTAAAGACACAGATGTCATCAATGTACACCATGGCAAAACTCTCCATCCCCCTCAGTAGTTGATCCAGCAGACACTGGAAGGTAGCAGGCGCCCCCTTGAGGCCGAAAGGCAGGGCCAGGAACTCATAGAGCCCCAGAGGGGTGATAAAGGCAGACTTCAGCCTGGCATCTGCATCCAGTGGCACTTGCCAGTAGCCCTTTGTAAGATCCATGGTGGTAAGGTACCGAGCTCCTCCCAGCTTGTCTAGGAGCTCATCAGGCCTGGGCTACCCCATGTAGGCATCAGACACGGTGATGGCATTAAGCTTCTGATAGTCCACACAGAACCAGATCGACCCGTCCTTTTTGGGGACCAGCACCACAGGCGATGCCCAAGGGCTGGAAGACGGCTGGATCACCCCCAAAGCCAGCATGTCACTGACCTCTCTTTCCAGGTCCTGAGCGGTTTTCCCTGTGACTCGGAAGGGGGAGCACAACCCAGGGTTGTGAGTTCAATCCTTATGGGGGCCATTTAGGGATCTGGGGCAAAAATCTGTCTGGGGATTAGTCCTGCTTTGAGAAGGGGGTTGGACTGATACTTCCTAACCTGTCCCAGCATCACCCAGAACAGGCCTGATTGACTTGTCCCTGTGTGACAGAGATAGGAATTTTCTGTAAGATTTTTATGAGCTATTTGTGTGACTGTGACTGTCATCTCTGTCATCTTGGCCTCATCATCCACTGACAGGGAGAATTGATTTGCTCCCTAGGACATGGGAGATCCAGTGTTTGAGACATGTAGCCACATCTGTGTCCACGTATCTAAAACCTATGACAACAGCACCTTGTGGTCATCCGGAGCTGAACATTCATTTGAGTGCTGTAAGGTCAGGCACTGGACACCACACTGCCTCCCATGAACTACATCTTCCAGCTCACTCAGGGATCCTAGTGGCTGTTAGCCATGCAGGACCCATGCTGGATTGAACCCATTCCTTTCCAGAAATCCCCCAACCTCCACGTGACAATTTCCTGCCTGTACAGTTCCAACCCTGCGCCTCCTATAAGCTAGTTTTCTTCTTGTTCCTTCCAGGCTGGTCCTGTGTAATTCCACCCATCTGCATTTGGGCCATGCAGAATTTATAGCAGAGCCTCTCCTGGGCCATGTGTACTTCAAAAAGTCTGCACCAGCCCCTGTGGACTTTAACTGGGCCACACACCCTCCCCCAGTCCTGGTCAACGTCCCTCGCCAGGAAGATCAAAATCAGAGTTTCCCAGCCAAGCAGCTTTGCCTGAGTCAATAAAACCTTGGGAAGAACTTCCAAAATGGAGTCCCCACCCGCCTTCTCGTTTGGCTCCAAGTGCTCAGGAATATTGGTTGGACTCTGGCAGGATATGAACACAGCAGGGAAATCAGTGAGCAGCAGGCACCTCTCCAGAATAGAAACACCTTAACGCTGCCCTCCCCACAAGCCACCCCTCTGATAGGCTACAGAGCAATAGCAGAGACTGGATGGGACCTAGGAGCCTTGTCCCAGTTGCAAACAGGACCCAGCCGTCCTGGCCGATAGCACCAGTCTCGAACCTCTAGCTCCCCCATTGTAAGCAGTGGGCTATAGCCACTGAATCAACCCACCAAGCAGCGAGGCTACGGGGCGCATGCTCATTACATTCAGGCGCTAACAGATTCTACGCATGCACGATCCCCTCCCTCAACAGGTTTAGGGGCGGGGCTGAAGGACGCTCCGCATCCCCGCGCGCACCCGTACCTGTGGCGTGTGGCTGCGTGAGTGGTGGTTGTACGCTGCGCATGCTCAGAGCCCCTCTCCCAGGTATGGCGCGTGCGCAGTTCTCCTCCAGGGCCAGGCGTCCGAGTGGTTGCGCATGCGCGTCGTCCTTAATCCCCGGGGAGCCGTGGCAAGGCATGCGCGATAGGCCGGGAGGGGGAGCGGGGCTGTCCATGGCCGGTGGCGGCGGCGGTGGGGAGCGGCTGCCCGGGATGCTGCGGACAGTGGCGGCCTTAGTGCTGCTGGCGCAACTGGCGGGCCGGGGGGCGCATGCGCTCTACTTTCACATCGGGGAGACCGAGAAGCGCTGCTTCATCGAGGAGATCCCAGACGAGACCATGGTGATCGGTGAGGGGGGGGAGATGGGAGAGACCAACCAGCGCAGGGGGCTGACACGAGGAAGCTGACATGGGGGGGTGAAGGGTACGGGGGGCTGACAGGAGGGAGTGGGAGTTGACATGAGGGTGGGCGGCTGACGGGAGGGGCGTGGGGATGGGGGGCAGTGGGCTGGGTTTGATGTGGGGCAGGGTGTTTGGGGTGATGGGCAGCAGGGGTGGGGGTGTTGAGGTCACAGGTCAGTGGGGAGTGACGGGGGGGTGGAGTAGTACAGGGCAGTGGAGGGTAACGGAGTAGGGGGTGGGGCGCGGGGGGCAGGGCCAGCTGGGGGTATGAGGGCAGGCCTCGCCCTGATCCCCGTCTCTGTCATGCAGGGAATTACCGCACCCAGCTGTGGGACAAGCAGTCGGAGTCGTTCCTGCCCTCCACGCCGGGGCTGGGCATGCATGTGGAAGTGAAGGACCCTGATGGAAAGGTAATGCTGGGGGTGGCTGTGCCTCCTGCCTGGACTTGCCCTGCTGCTTCAGGCACAGCCCAGTTATCCTGCACAGGGGCACCTTCGTGTGTCCTCTTCCTTTCTGCTGCCCAGATCCTGGTGCCTCCCTTTGGTAAGGCCTCTGCTGCCCTTTGGGGCCAGATCTCATGGGCTGCGGGCTTCGCTGGCCCAAGGTTTCCCTTGCCCTAGGAAAGTACCATCAGCAGCTCGCTGGCACTGTGGGGTGGGATGGCGGGGCTTGCTCGGCACTCACGACTCTGTCGCTGGCGGTTCCAGGTGATTTTGTCCCGGCAGTATGGCTCAGAGGGCCGCTTCACCTTCACCTCGCACACCCCGGGTGAGCACCAGATCTGCCTGCACTCCAACTCCACGCGCATGGCGCTCTTCGCAGGCGGCAAGCTGGTAAGAGAATCCCCCAGTGCTTCACCCCGGCTCTGCCTCTAAACCCTGCGGGGCGGAGGGCTCAGGGTGCAGGTTGTCCGTTTCCTGAGGGAGAGCAGTTGAAACACTGCCTGTTGGCTATGGGGAAGGGCTGTCTGCCTAACGTGCCTGACTGGGCTCCAATCCTGGCTCTGCCACTCTCTCCCAGGATGATCACCATGGGCCATTGCCTGCCTTCTCTGTGCCTCAGTTTCTCCAGCTGTAGCACAGGGGTAATACCTACCCCTTGTGGGAAGGGGAAGTGGGTCTCTCTGATATGTGTAAAGTGCTGTCAGATCCTGGAGGGAGGGGGCCAGAGGGTGCGTGGAAGCTGAAGGACAGATTCCCTGGGGCTTTAACCTGTAACTGCATGTGCCATGTTGCTGGAAGCCCTGTGCCTCTGACCCCACGTGTGCCATGTGCAGCGCGTGCACCTGGACATCCAGGTCGGGGAGCATACCAACAACTACCCCGAGATTGCAGCCAAGGACAAGCTGACAGAGCTGCAGCTCCGAGCCCGGCAGCTGCTAGACCAAGTGGAGCAGATCCAGAAGGAGCAGAACTACCAAAGGGTAAGGGGCCCCGGGGTATGTGGGTGTGGGGCTCTTGAGGGTTACTGAGGTGACTGTCCATCCCCCCCCCACAACTCTCCCCAGAGAGTTCAGGGTTGTAACACCTGCTCGCTGAGTGCTGGTTGGCGTTCTTGGAATCTGCATAGGGCTGGGACAGGGAACTGTGGCAGGAAAGCCAGCCCAGTGGCCATGGCAGAGAGGGCTCATTAGGGGGACGTACAGGCTGAAAACACACACTTGGCCTCATGTTTTGCCAAAGGGGCAATGTGAGATGTGCTTCGGATTGTGGCTGGATGAGGTGGGATTCATTAAGAGTGGGGGTGACATGAGGCAGCTGGGCATAGGATGGCAGTGCCCGCCCCCTCTGCTTCACCTGATCCTGGTCTGTGTCACACCTGGGACCATTGGGGACTGAGTGGGTTGGTGCCTGCCTAATCTGGAAGCTGTTGGCAGGGGATGTAAGTGTGCATGTGGGAGACCTGCCCGGTATGGAAGCCATTGGTGGGGGGCAGTAAGTGTGGGGGTGCCTGCTTGTGCACGTGAAGAGGGCGCCATATGCTGGCTGCGCAGTAGCAGGGGCAGTGATCCCCTTTGGGGCGAGATTGAGAGGGGCCTGCCGAGGGGGGGTGGCATTGTGCCTGGGGGGCAGGGATTGGGGAGGGTTCCCCATCCGCTCTGACTCCTCTTCCCATTTGCTCCCCCCACAGTACCGGGAGGAGCGGTTCCGCATGACCAGCGAGAGCACCAACCAGCGGGTGCTGTGGTGGTCCATTGCCCAGACCATCATCCTCATCCTCACTGGCATCTGGCAGATGAGACACCTCAAGAGCTTCTTCGAGGCCAAGAAACTGGTTTAATCCCCGACCTCCCCAATTGCCACTGCAGCGCCCTCCCCCCTCCACTACCCCTGCCCCCCCCCCCATGCTGGCATGCCCTTCGCTGCCCCTCCCCTTCTGGGCATAGGTAGGCACTGAATCGCACTGGAGCTGGGAAGCACGGGTACCTGCTGGCTTTCGCAGCACCATGCTCCCAAGCCCCTTGGGGGCCATGATTAGCCAGCCTGGCCACCAGGCATCTTGCTTTGTTGCCAGCAGGAGGCCAGATCCTGGCTGTCTTCCTGCCTCTGGTGCTTTGCCAGACGGGGCTAGCAGCTCCTCCTGGGGGCTTGGCACTGATCTGCCTTGCTACTGGCAGGGCATCAGGGGTGTGCCAGCCTGGGCAGAGGTCGCTCTGTCCTCGCACGGGGTGCCATCTGTGCTGCTCTCCCTCCAGTTGCTAGTGCCCTGATGCCCTGTCCTTTACCCACCTGGCACCTGTTTCGCTCTGGTTCATCCCGCCTGTTGCCGATAGCTGAGGCATTAGGGAGTGGGGTGCGTCTGGTGCATTTGGTCGGCGGCTTCGCACCCCATGTGTGTATTTCAGCTCTTGGGTGCGAGGAGAGGTGAGGGGCAGCCGCTATTTTATACCAGAATCTATTTTGATAACTGCAGCCCAGGACAGTGGCACGGCCTCTTCTTTCCCCTGGCGCCCTGCCCCTTACCTGCAGGGGAGGCCAGACTCCACTTCCTCTCTCCCAGGTCATCTGCTCCAGTCCCCCATAAGAGACTAGAGATGCTCTGACTGTGGCCAGGAGTGCTCAGGAAGGAAAAGCTGAATTTAGCCCTCTAGGGCCGGCCCCATGCCAAGCTGTATCGGCCTGTCTTGCCCCCGGCATGTGACCTGTTCAGTTTCGTCTGAGATCCCAGGCTCCTTGCACCCTCCCTCAACTGGGTTGGCGCTGGGTCTACTGGGGGGTGAAGTACATTGTAGTGGATGCTTTCCCCTGGAGTTTCTTCCCAGCTTTGTTGTGTGGCAGGGGGAAGCGGCCAGTGTCAGTGGACACTCCCCTCCCTTTTGGTATTTATGGTGGTGAAGGCAGATGGGTGTGGGGCCGCCCTGGTATAGTTAAGATGCAGTAAATCTGAAATGCAGTTTGATGTTTTCTCCTATCCCCATGGTACGACCGAATTGGGTTGGTTCTGCCTGGGCCCAGCCCCCATGCTGCAGGGAGAATTCATAACAGATGTTCTTTGTTACGATTTTGGAGTGAAATAAAACCTCTTCTGGTAACTCGCGTGCTGGGGTATGGTTATTGGACTGGGGCTGGTTTCTGAGTTCTCTGTCTGGCTGTTTCTACTGCTGGGGAAATGGGGGAGACCCTAGAAAAACAACCCCAGTAAATTCTTTGGGGAGGCCCATGTGTACAGTGCCTAGCACCGAGCCCCACTCCAACATGCTGTGAAGAAAATGGATTTAGGTTTTGTAAAGATGGTCTTGTTTTCACACTAAATCAAAGTTTATCAAAAACGTGAGATTGAGGTGACAGTGAACAAATCAACAGGAGTACTTGTGGCACCTTAGAGACTAACAAATTGAACAAATGGTTACACACATAACACAATCATAACCTGCTTTCTCGAGCATCCCACCAGATTAACTTCCTCTCTAGAGAAGTTTCTCACCCAAAGCCCTCTGCAGCGTTTCAGCCAAGGTTGGCTGAGCCAGTTTTCATGAATGCAACCGTGCAGTCTGTTTACTTCCCGGGTGGAGGGTATTCTCCGCCTTCTAGAAATCCTCCCCTAAGTTAGTTGTCTTTGCTTATGGACAGGATAACCCCCTCCCCCCTTGCCTCCAGGCTTGCATGCTCCATTCCTGTTGACTTCACATCTCTTTGTTAACATTTGAGTGCGTTTAGGGAGGGGAATAAATCTCTCTTGTCTGACAGAAAACCTGCTTTTCACCTCTGCCGGTGCCTCGTACTTTGCTGCAGACTCTGACAACATATTTTCAGTCTATGTACATAACTCATTACAGGCTATACAGGTATACATTTCACGCTGATGCTAAGGAGCAGCGTGACCCTGGCTTTCATATGAACCCTCACCTGACATCCATTGGTGAACCAGCCTGTACAGACCAGTCAGGATATACCTGTAAGCCCCTTGTCAGTGCCATTACGAAGGTCTTGGGTCACAACAGGAGCTGTTCTGAGCTCAACAGCTAGCCCACAAAGCATGCGGGAAGAGAGGGGAGATGCCTGTGCTCACCTACGGACATGACCCCAGAATGTAGACACAATCGCAGCCACAGTGACCCCAAGTGAATCGCTCACAACTGACATGCAGTAAGAACAGCAAAAGGAGTATGTGATGAGGTACATGCTAGAGTACATCCTCCCCCGGGGGAATCACTCTCTGGTGTTTCCTGTGGGGTCCTGCAGGGATCAGTTCTTGGCCCTGGGCTGTTTCATATTTTTATCAATGGCCTGGAAAAGAATAAAATCACTGATGAAGTTTGCAGGTGCCCCAAACGGTGGGGGAGTGGTAAGTAACGAAGAGGACAGGTCACTGATACAGAGCCAGCTGGATCGCTTGGTAAGCTGGGCGCAAGCAATACACATTTTAATATGAGTGAATATAAAGTTCTGCATCTAGCAACAAAGAATGCAGGCCATACTTACGTGACAGGGGACTTCATCCTGGGAAGCAGTGACTGAAAAGGACTTGTGGAGGTGTCAGCTGAACATGAGCTCCCAGTGACACACTGGGGCCAAAAGAGCTAATGTGAACCTGGGATGCATAAACATTATCTGGAGCACAGAGTTTATTTTATCTCTGTAACTGGCGCTGGTGCGAGCGCTGCTGGAATCCAGTGCCCAGTTCTGGTGCCCACAGTTCAAGAAGGATGGTGATTAATTGGAGCGGGGGCAGAGAAAAGCCAAGACAATGATTAAAGGATTAGAAAACCTGCTTCATAATGAGAGACTCAAGGAGCTCAGTCTATTTAGCTCAACAAAGAGAAGGCTAAGGGGTGATTGGATCATAGTCTATAAGCACCTACATGGGGAACAAATTCAGCGGGTCTTGTCAATCTAGCGGGTAAAGATGTAGCAGCGCAATGGCTGGAAGCTGAAGCTAGACAAATTCAGACTGGAAATAAGATGCACATTTTTAATAGGGAGGGTAATTAACCACTAGAACAATTTCCCAAGGCTCGTGGTGCATTCTCCATCACGGGCAATGTTTAAAAACAGACTGGATGTGTTTCTACAAGATCTGCTCTACTTCAAACACGAATTAATTCAGGGAAGTTTTAGGGTTATGCAGGGGTCAGCATAGCTGCTCACATTGGTTCCTTCTGGCCTTGAAATCTATAAAACAGTGGGGACCCTGATCTGTAATGGCATTTGGGTGCTGCCACAATACAAGTAAACTAGTTGTAAAATGGCCTGGATCCACATGGAGTCAGCCCATGGTGCCTAAACACCACGAATCTGGCCCAGCTTAACCAAAATGCTCTAAGTTGGTTCTTTTTCTTTGCCTTCATGTCTCTGAGCTGTTAGGCAAGGGATTTCCCAGCTTTTCTCTACCAACATGACTGGTAGAAACTTACACAATCACCTGACTCCAGGAGCAGGTGCTTTACTAAACATCAGGTATCATCAGACTGCTGAGAGTTGGCAACACTGGAGTGAAGAGTGGCTGTGCTGCAGCTGGGCATCGGAACTGGCCCGGGGATGGTGGGACAGCTGGGTCAGAACCGGCCCCGGGGAGTGGCTGGGGTGGAGCCAGGCGTCGGAACCAGCCACCATCCTGTGGTTTCTCTCTGCGCGGCCCCTGGCTTGTAGCAATGCCTTTGATGCCACCCCGGCTAGCTAGGTGGCTGGGTGGAACCCGGCATCCCTGGATCTCAAAGCCTGAGCCAAAGGGTCATTAATGGCCCTTTTGTCTCCTGAGCCCTGCTCTGGGGACTGAGGCCAAGAAGGGCCAAGCCCCACTATCCCAGCTCGGGGAGGGGGGGGTCTAGTGGTTGGAGCAGGGGGAGGCTGGGAGCCAGGACTCCTGGGTTCTGTCCTTGGCTCTGGGAGGGGAGTAGGGGCCAGGGGTCAGAGCAGGGGGCTCCCCCTCCCTGGCCAATGGGCCCTCGCTAGCGCTCTGCTCCTGTCCCCTCCCGCCCCAGGCAGGGGCTGGCGGGCTGTGGGGGTGGGGCTCCTCCCCCCGGAGTGCAGGACTCACCTCCTGCCCAGGGGGCAGCAGACGGAAGACGGGGGACGCTCTAGTCGCGTGGTTGCGCCTTTATGGTGCTTCCGCGCTGCAAGTGGCGCATGCGCCCTGAGTCGGGGGCGGACAGGCGGGCAGCGTAGGCTGGAGATGGAGCTGGAGCCGAGCTTCGCGCACATGGGGCTGGACGGGCGGCTGCTGCAGGTACCGGCCCCCGGGCCGGGCTGGGCGGGAACTCAGGAGCCCTGGCACCCAGCTCTAACCATTAGATTCGCCCCGGACCCTCCCATCCCGCCCCTCCCTGGGCTGGGGAGGGAACCCAGGAGTCCTGGCCCCCCCCCCCCCCGCTCTAATCACTAGATTCCCCCCGGACCCGCCCCCCCGACACCCCTGGGCTGGGGAGGGAACCCAGGAGTCCTGCCCCCCCCCAATCCCTAGCCCCTCCCAGAGCCAGGAGAGGACCATGGGGTCCAGCCAGTGCCGCCCCCAGGGCAGGGTGGGAGGCACGAAGCCGGGAGGCCCTTCTCCCTGCAGAGGCCACAGGAGACCCCCGCCCTCCCTGTGTCCGTGGGGGGTGTCTCAACGAGGGATCAGGCGCGTCCCACCAATCGCATCCCCCTCGGTGCCTGGGTCCCCTGGCAATGCCCAGCTGCTGCCCTGGGTGTGTGGGTGTGTGGGGGGGGTGATGATGTGACCCTTCCCCCTGCTCTTCTTGGTATCCCCCCCAGCTGTGCTGTGGGGAGCATGGCCTAGTGGCTAGAGCGCTGGCCTGGCTGTCAGGGTGCTGGGGTTCTGTTCCTGGCCCTGCCACCCAGGTGTGTGGAGCTGTGGGTGTGTCCCCTGCTCTGTGGCATGGGGTGATGGGGCTGGGGTGAAATTCATCCCCTTGGCAAAGCTCCATGCGATCTGGGCTGCCAGTTGCTGGCTGTGGTGGGGGCCTTAAGACTTGGGCATAGAGCCTGGCTACTTGCGTGCCCTCCCACCCCCCCAGTGGGAAGAGCCCAGGGCACTGAGCGCTCTAGTCTCAGCCGACGGAGGGGCTGGAAGGGC